AAGGAGAGTTAGTAAGAATTTCGGTGAAAAGGCAGGTGAGTTATAGGTAGATATCTTACCCCATCACAAGCTAATATTAGAAACTCATCAATCTCCGGCTGTATGACAGTTTCGGTGGTAAATGGGTGTCCGGTGACAAGGTCCTTCATGTAGGTATCTCCCAAAGCGCGGGTGACGGCGAGGACGCCATTGACACGGTTATTCAAAATCAATCCTCCGGCATTGGTTATTCGTAACCCTTCATTTTCATCGCTACCCTTGTGGTCGTATGACAGGCGTAATGCCTTGCCGTTACGGCATAGAATGATCCTGGCGTCGCCAACATTGGCAGTGTACAGAACCCTGGAACGAATGGGCTGGTCTTCCTGCGGTGATATGGCAGACGTATCCTCGGAGAGACTTTGCTTCGACCCCTCTATACTGGTACCCTCAGGGTCGTCTGCATTTCCCTTTTTCTTCGTTGATTCAGCAATTGATGCAGCAGGGCTGGGGAGACGGTCTTCCCATCTTAGCACTGCAATGACGGCAGTACAGCCACTATTTTTTAACGGCAGTTGTTCTAGCTGCTGATCTACAGAGGTGAAGGTCTGATCAAGGAGCATGGGCACTGGAGCACTAGGGTTCTTTCGTATAGTGTCTTCAAGAATCAGATGTAGTTTCTTGCCGCACCACTCTGCAGCAAACGAGCCAGCATGGCCGTCGAATATGGCGAAGTAGCCATTGTCAGTTTCCACCATCTCCGTAGAGGCAATATCATCGTTTGCCCCGCCCTCGCTCTGTTTCGAGCTGTCAGCCTGAAGTTGCCTTGTTGCCGGGGCAAGAGGGGCTCCGAGGAAATTGTAGAGATAGGCGTGGGTGTCCTCCATTGTTCTTCGGCATTTTCTATTTCTATCTTCAGTCACACCGACCTGGAAAGAGGAACGCGAGGTGGGCATCGATTCGCCGGCGGAGTTGTTCAACGAGCCCTGAGGGACGATCAGAGCGGGATCCATCTTGCCCAAAATCTGCAGAGTCGTCTGCGCAGCCTGAGACTGCTGCTGCTGTGTCGTAGCCGTAGTGTTCGACGTCGTCGTTGAATCCCTGAGCTGGCTCTTGAGACTGGAGAGGTGCAGAGAATTCTTTGCGCTGGCGAAGAGAGCCGCTGCCTTGTTAACGGAGCTGTTTCGCCGTTTCTTGTCCCCGGGCTGGTTCCAGCGCTCGCACGCACGCTTGGAAGAGTCTGTCAGCGAGAAATGGCGCTTCTCGCGGCTGGTCGAAGAGGAGTTCTCGTTCGTTTTGTCGGAGTTGGCGCTGTCCTCCTGCAAGTAGGGCGCGGCTGGGCCTGTGGATGAGGAGTTGGGAGCCGTCGATGGAGAGGACGCGGCGGCAAGGGAGGAATCGGCTTTCTTCTCTTTGTTAGGGCTCGAGAAGCCACCGAACATTCTGTTCAGGATCCCGCCCTCGTTCGACAGACTCGCTCGCTTCCTTCCTGCCAGCTTGACTTCGCTGCGGCCGGCCTGGGGAGAAGCGACAACAGATGACGGGCTCCGGTTCTTCGATCTCAGCCGGCGGCTTATCGGGCGAGCTAGAGCAGCGATGACGGGTCAGTCAGGACGAGAGAAAACGGCTGGGGTAGAAGCATCGCTAGCTAGCTATCGGCCTGCCTGCCTGCCTGCCTGCCTGCCGGTCCGCTGGCCGGCTTTGCTGGCTGGCTCGCTGAGACTCCAGGGCCGCGCATAAGGCGTGCCGCAGATGACGTTTCGGCCCCTCCAGCGGGCGCTTCGCCAGCGCCCAAAGGCAAAAAGACGTGAAGAAACAGCCAGGGAGACGTACCTGGAGGCTGCTGCTGCTGCTGCTGCTGCTGCGGGTCGTAGCGGGAGGGAGAGTAGAGAGCGGCTTTGGGTCTACTGTGGTTTGGCTATTTGTCTACTGGGGAGGGAGTGGACGTTGTGGGAGGTTTTTGTGCTGTTGTGGTCAGACGGAAGACGACATTTTTTTCTTTTTTCTTTTCTTTTCTTGCTGCGATGAAACTAGCTAAGTGAGCTCAACTACGACTTGATACACAGAGATCCTGCTGCCTGGCCGAGGTTGCCACGGCGGCCTGGCGGGCTCTGCAGAGAGCTGCTCGACATTGATTGCGCTCGCTATTTGAGTCTTTGGAGACGCTGGAGGACGAGGAGGTGGGAGTTGCAGGCTCGCTCAGGGGCAAGCAAGGACGACGACGATGAAGACGAGAAGCAGAAGAACCCGCGGAATAATTACAGGCTACGGCTGCCTGGCCGTGATGAACAGGGCCAGGAGGACTGCCTGGTGCTGCTCTTGTCTGATATCTTTGCTGCCTTAGCGGTCTGTCTCTCTGGGGAATTGAGCAGCCGAATATCACAGTGATATCGGCTCGCTCGTCTCCAGACTCGATCAGCATATTCTAGCCCGTCGACCTAGACCCAGAGACCGTATTCGTTGTCCTGATTTTACCCACCAGGCCATGGATGGGCCGGCAAGAGTCTCTGTGGGCGGCTAATAAACAGAAATTCCCTGCGGTCCATGAGATGGCATTATTATTGCAAATATCCGCGGATTAGAAGACACCGAGCAGGTAATCCTGGGGCCCCGGCACGTTACATCTTTCTGGAAGAACACTAGACCGAGGAATACAATCCATGCCCTGGCTGGAGAGGTCACGCTGCCTCCAGTCCGGTTGGATATACCCCCGAGGGCTTATTTGGCGATATACCTGGGGGGGAAGAGAGGCGAGGAAGCATCAGGGAGAAAAGACATCCGGGACTGCCCCCTGGACGAAGACGTTCACCCCACAAAAGTCTAAGCTAATGGGTTATATACAGTGTACACACACATGAAGGAGGAAAAAGCGGAGGCAAGAGCCCCGAGGACTCTTGAAGGATGAGGGTGGTGGTCGTTCTGGGGCTTCTCGCTTGTTCACTCTCTGTTCAGGCAGGCATCAAAAGTCATCACCGCTACCAGCCCCGTATAGGCAGATCAGGGGGCAAGGACGCCATGGGGGACAACTCTCACCATGCATAATTCTTCCAGGGCAAGGTATTATTCTTAGTACCTGCTTGCATGTCCATGTTCCTTTTCTCTCCTCTTTTCTTGAATTAGAAATGCAAAAAACGAAATAGTATGCATCCCCAACACGAGTCACTTTGAAAAAAAAAATAAATAAATAAAAAATAAAAATAAAAGCACAAAATCAGGATCCTGGATGGCAACCAAGTTGAGTGAGTTTTCTGCTCTGATGGGCTCGTTCCCGTCCGTGGTCCACGTAACTCCGTAACTCCGCTGCTAGAATATATAGATATCTCACTGGGTGTGTGTGTGCAGGCGTGCGTGGTATGTATATCTATTAGTACACTTCACTTGCGTAGACTGTCCAATCTGGCTTGCAAGTCCTCGTCATCCGTATTCCCGCCACCACCAACTGCTTGGGCAACTCGGGCCTCCTTGACTGCCGTGCCTTGTATTCCACTTGGTGTCTCTCCAAGCTGTGGCCAGAGCGAAGGGAGGGGAAGAAAGGTCAGCTGTCAGTTGCAAACAGAAGATAACGGGCTTATGAACAGAACAATACATACCGCCTGCCCGAGATCAACACCAATCTCATCCAATACCTCCTTGACAATCTCTTCTCCTTCTTCTTCGTCATCGAGACCGGTTGCTTCATCAACAGCATCGTCCATCATCTCCTGTCGTTGATCCATGATCTCATTCTCTCGTTCAAACTCCATCGCAATCCTCTGCAGAGCAGGTAGATTCATCTGCTTGTTCATGCTTCCCAGCAGTATCGTTGCTCCCTTCATTGACTGTGCCATCTGCTCATTACTTCGAACGGTCTGACAAAGAAAGAATAGCCAGTCAGCAATCAATCAAACTTGATCCAGAAATATATAGGGTATAGAAATGGGTTGGAGCCTAGCCCATCCATACCTGAATCCGTAGTGATATAGCCTGCAACTGTGTCCGCATCGAGTAGAACTTTTGTATATACCTATAGCCCGGCTTGTTAGACCTAGAATTCTCTACGCGCTGAGCCGTTCCCCAGACGATCTATCGTATGGCCATACCGTCGTGTCCGGACAAGGTCCTTTGCCTGGATCTTGCATGCCGCTATCTGCCCGTTTTTTGCGCTCTTCTTGATGTCTGCCACCAGCTTCTTCTCCTGGTTCTCGAGCTTCACGCGCTCCCTGTCCAGCTCTCTCTGCGTCCTCTCCAGCGCCCTCTGGTGTTTGCGCAGCCTCTCCGCGGGGGTCATCCGCTTCCCAAACGCCCACTCGATGATCTATTCTCCGGGTATCAGCATGCGCTTTTTCTCTTTATTTTTTATTTTTTTTTGACATGGCCACATAGCACACTCTCTGCCAGACTCACATTCATGGTTCAACCGTCTGCTGCTGTTGTCTTTGCTGCTCTATCTCGCCGTCGCTGGTTCTTCGTCCTCTCGTCGTCTTTGGCTTTTTGACTTTTGGTGACGTCGGAGTCTCGCATCTTCGTTTTTCCTCTTCCGAGGCGCTTTTTTCATGGATTTTGGGATTTTCTTACTATTTCTTTGATTCCTTTTGTCACGCCACGAAAAAAAAAATATCCGCCAGAACGGACGAGAAGAAGCGACAGGAAGGAAGACAGATGAATTCGCAGTGAAGAGACGGTTTGAGTGCTGTGGGAGACAGTTGATGCCAGATATACACCTTCGCGATGAGCAGCAAGGATTACTTTTCCCACGACGCAGGCTCTTCCGCCGGAGAGGGTTCCTCACGGTCGACCGAACGACACTCACCCATCCCCGACGATGAACGGCCACCGAGCCAGGTCCCCGGATATATGATAGTTGGATCGGGCCCTGCCTCCGGGAACGCGACTTCGTTGATGTCGACCTTGCACGAGGATTCGGGATACGGTGGAAGCATTATTGATGGTAACTCGGATATCGGCTCTGAGTCCTGGCAGGCCGGGTTGATGGAGGACCGCCCTACGCCATCACATACACCCGTTGGACCAGGCTACATGAGTAATGCAGGTGTGTTTCCGCTGTTCTTCCGCCAGTATTTACTCTATACCGTTTGCTAAGAAGAGTGTTTTGCAGCACAACATGAGAGACAGGTTATTGCGAACCATGTTCATCAGCTCGTATAGTACGATTGGAGTCTTCTTTTCTCTCTCAAATATAATCATATACTAATATATACTAGTAACTCCAACCGAACGAAACTCGGTCGATCTGTTACCAGAGCTATCGAGCTGCTGAAGGAACTCCAAGAAATGAACCGCCAGTGGCCGGCGCATTACCCCTCTATTCAGAACACTGATGCACCCCCACAGAACAGACACATTCTTTCGCGAACACGATCGTACGAGGAAAGCAGAGAAGAGGGAAGTAATGCTGATCCACGGCCCGGCACAATCAAACGTACCGCCACATCGATTAGCCAGACCGCTGAGTCGAGCCGGGACGCCGATGCCCGGGCACAGGCTGAACCAAGACTCGTAACACCACAAATTGCCCGGGAATTTTCTATCCTCAAGTTGGATTTGAAACTTGGCGCTTTATCCCCTGCTGAACTCGTTCACTCTCTGGAAAAGAACTCGATCGCTTCTCTCCTTGACGGGAAAGTCAGTCAAAGCATAAAACACCTGTTGGCTTTGCGGGGAAGGATAGAGGACACGTCCAGCAAAGTCCTCATCACTGGCGATCTAAATGCAGGGAAGTCGACTTTCTGCAATGCTCTATTACGTCGAAAGATCCTTCCTGAAGATCAACAGCCCTGCACCAGCATCTTCTGTGAGGTACTTGATGCCAGGGAGAATGGAGGAGTGGAGGAGGTGCATGCCATTCCAAAGGACAAGCAGTATAACCGAAATGATGAGAGCACTTATGATGTGTACTCTCTCACCGATCTCGAGTCCATCGTTGTGGATAACAGCAAGTACATGCAGTGCAAGGTGTACGTTAAGGATGTCCGAACAATTGACGAATCTTTACTCAATAATGGAGTTGTCGATATCGCGTTAATCGATGCGCCGGGTCTCAATTCTGATTCGGTCAAAACTACCGCCGTATTCGCTCGACAGGAAGAAATTGATGTGGTCGTCTTCGTTCTTTCAGCCGCGAATCATTTCACTCTCTCATCAAGCGAGTTCATCAGGAATGCTGCCCATGAAAAGGCCTATATTTTTATTGTCGTCAACGGATTTGATAACATCAGAGATACCGCTCGATGCCAGAGAACAATTCTGAATCAAGTGGCTGCCCTGAGCCCACACACCTACAAGGAATCCGCAGAACTTGTGCATTTCGTTTCTAGCAATGCTATCCCCGTTGCGCCTATCAGTGGAAGCGGAGGAGGAGGTGGTGGTGACGATGGTGATGATGATGACGACTCAAAGGGCAAGGGCAAAGGAAAGGAAAAAGCAAAGGAAAAACTTCGGGACTTTGAGAATTTGGAGGGTGCTCTCCGGCGGTTTGTCTTGGAAAAACGGTCTCGGTCCAAGCTTGCTCCAGCCAGAACATACTTGCTCAACATCCTCTCCGATCTCAACGTTCTTGCATCCGTCAACCGCGATGTTGCCTCGTCTGAACTTGAACGCGTGTCCACAGAGCTCAGTAAGCTTGAGCCTGCTTTTGAGAAGAGCAAAATGCAACGGTCAGAGATTTCCGAGCAGCTGGAACGTTACATTACAGAATCATCCAATGATGTATATAATTATACCCGCAAATCTCTTGCAGAGAAGATATCAACGGTTGCTCAGTCTGATCTGGGTGTGGATTATCCTGGCCTGCTTTCGGTCTTCCGCTATGCAGAGGATGTGAAATTGGCAATGCTCGATCAGATCACCGCTTGTGTTTACAAGTGCGAGGATTATTCACGCAAAAAATGTGTGGAGGGTGTCAATATGATTCAGAGCCTTGGATTGCTTCATGTGGGCGAAAATAAGTTCCCCAGTCTTAACTTCCGCTCTGAAATCATGTTTAAACAGCACCGTCACGAACTTGCACGACAGATACATACGGAACTTGATGTTTGGGATTTCATTGACCTCCCTGGTTTCTGGGAACGGCAAGAGAAAGTTGCTGGTACCGGTATGGCTATGACTGTCCTAGGTGTACTTGGGGGCAGAGCATTGGGTGGAATTGGGTGGCTTGATGGTGTAATGGGAGCCGCCAGGATACTTGGTCCAAACACTATGCGCAAACTCTTGGTCCCTGGCATTTTGGGTGCAAGTAAGTTCTTTCCCCTTCTAGTTCTGTACTTACAAATTACTGACATACCTGTCTCTTTAGCACTATTGGCTGGTGCATATATTTTGTCCCAGGTTCCAACTGCTCTACCATCAAGTTTGTCCCGCAAGATAGCCGTGACACTTGCAGAGATGGATTATATCCACACCAATGCCACCCGTATATCTGGAGAAGTTGGACGAGTGCTTCGTGTCCCCGCTACCAGATTGCAGTCAACACTACAAATAGCCTCCGAGGAACTGTTCAGACGAAAGGAGGAAGTTGAGAAAATTAAGGCAGAGAGTGAAATTGCGAAGAAGTACTTCTCCAACCTTTTCCGTGAGAGCACTGAACATAGGAGAACTGTGGAACAAATTGATCTTGACGCACAGGCTCCTCCAGCTGCTGCATAAAGAGCTTATACCTCTCTTCTATCCGCTAATTTTCCATTCTTGTGTTGTACTTACTCCCGTTCCTCTCCCTCCAGCCTTACCCACGACCTTGTGACCATCTCCTTTCCCTGCCTCTTCTTGCCATTCATTTCTTTTCTTTTTCACTTTCCCCTTGTTCAAAGTTATTTACACATACCCCAGGCTCAGTTTTGTTCATGATTTTATGACTGGTTTACACGTTTTTTTTTTTTTCTTTTTGGAGTGATGCTGGCGTCTTGGGATAAACAGGAATTAAGATAACCCGAGGCCCCCGTACATTTCATGCCTTGTAATATTTCAACATCACATACCCTTTTTTTCCCTTGCTTCTAGTTCCTCTAGGGGCTTTGTTAGTTCACTTTGCATGCTCTAGACTAACACAAATTGCAACGGATCAACCGTATTTATTGCCTCACCAGCTGTTAGTTTTTCTGTGCTTACGGCTTAAAAGTTGCAGTGAAATAATCACTATAGACGTTCAATGTTTGGGTTGTTGAAGTATGCACAGTGGGAACCGGCTGTATTTACATGCATGACAAATAGCACTCAAAAGCTCTCAAGAATGAAGAAGAGCATTATAAAACGGCTAGAGTGCTATGAACATTTACTCTATCCAATTCCTTTTAAGTCTACCAGCCCTCTAACTTACGAGATCTCGTGTTCCTCCCTCCTCGACAGTCCTGTAGTTTGCCAATAATTAATTTCCGACCTGCCCGTGAACCCCCGAGTCCAGTTCCTTCGTCCACCTCATCGTTCCTCGGGCTCTGATTGCTGATCATCTCGCGCATTGCTACCGCGTCTGGATCATCATACTCAAGTTGAGTTAAGGGTAGAGGCTCATCTTCGCCAACAGCTTTCTCTGCAAATTCGCCATTGGCAGAGTTACTCTGAAATAGAGCCAGTCTTCGTCGTAACATTTGCTGTGCCTCCATCTGTTCGGGGTGCGTAATTTCGACTTTCTGAGGGGCTAGCGAGACGAAGCTCGGCGCTTTTGTCGAAGGGCTATCGAGGCCATCGATTACACTGCCGTAACCATCTTCGTTCAGCGTGTCTATCGAACTTGCTCGGGATAGACCTCGTTGCGCATCTGTCGTAGTCAGGGCAGAACAGGATGAGCTGGCTCTACCTAATAGCTTGCGTCGTCTTTGAGAACGCACAGGGACGTCCATATCGCCGATAGTGTTTTGGGTTCGTAATCTTTTCTGCTTTAAGAGTTCACTTATTGCGGTATTTAGAGATATTTTTGTCTCTGAGTTAGCAATTGGCTTAGGCGTTGAATCATCTGGCGGAAGAGGGGCAGGAGAAGCTGCGGGAATAGGCTGGCTTGTTTCTTTCCAGGGAGATGGAGAGCGGGAAGGTTTTGGCGGGACAGTTGTGGAGGCTTTTGCTTGGGGAGCTGTAGGCTGGGTTTCCATATCGTCTGCTTCGGACTCCTTGCCATCTCTCCCCCTGTCTTGCAACACTTGAGTGAAATCCTGGTCTATAGGGTAGTGGCCCAGAGGGGCTATTTGCACTTCTTCTGCTGTTAATCTCTGCGCTTCTTGGGACACTGAACGCTTATTGGGAATCAAGTATGGGTGATATGGTTTCTTCTCTCCTGTTTGCACGGATATCCATAACCAGTCCGCAATCACAGGGGGTATATTCCATTCAAATACATGTCTCAGCTTTTCTGGGCTAGGAGTCGACGTGTTACAGATAAGTACTGAAGCGTTAGCTGTGAGATATTCGTCATATGTTGCCCCTAATTACGGTTAGCATCGAGAAATTTTATTCAAATAGCCAAAGAATCTCATACCTAGAAGATTAACAAGTTTGCTGAGGTGGAGCAAGTCAATCCCAGAGAACCCGGTTGAACATATCCTCATGCCTTGGAATGCTACAACATGTTACTAAAATTCGTTTTTGATAATGTAAATTTCTGTGAAACGAACCTGGGATAGGAAATCTTGGAAAAGGAGTACTGGTTATGTGAGCCTCTGGGGCTACAAATGCCTGGCTGCGCAGACAACGCTCAACCCACATATCCGTAACGATTTCAAGTTCTTCCAAGTCTTCATCAATTCTTGGAATCTCTCGCCTAGGTAGATCATACGGAACAACCATAAATGGTTGATTGTTATGCTTCAGAAGATCATCCAGTGACGGTGAAATGCAAGCATCTTGCGCAATAAGGTGGATTTCCAGTATCTGTGTCTAGTGGCAGGTCAGCTTTGGAACGCTGGGGGGTAGCGATTATGCTAGATGATTGTGATGTGTGATTACTTACCTGCTCTGTTGTAAAGCCAGTTATATAAAACCTACAGTTGTCCCAAAAACCCTTCGATGGTGCTTTTTTAGCTTCGGCAGCTGGTGGTGGTTTGCTCTCACGAGATACACTATCATGCCGACCAGGGACTGTAGTTTCACTTGCAAACGATTTGGTATCAAGCAAATTTTGTTGCGAAGCTGGTGTTAAATGCTGACTTCCCTCATATTGAGAATTGTTTTTGCTCTCAGCAGTTGTAGAAGGATTTGGTACAATGGCAGACCATATACCTTCAGTCTGACTACCTAGCTTGAGACTCGCAACCTTGCGTAACTTTCTAGTACGCGGAGGAAGGCGAGTAGGAAGACTGTCCTGAGGCTTCGCAATTCTCTCGACAACAGTAGGTTGAGAACGATTCCATGCGCCAATGCCTTGCTTTTCAATTGGAAGTAGGGGGTCATATAGGGTTTCATCGAGCGCCATAGAGCGTTCAATGCTATCCTCAAGCCACTTAAGGCTCACTACTTTTATTCCCCACTGAATCGCAAACTGATACTTGTTGCCTTCGCATGCAAATGCGATAAGATGGGTGACGGCCTTCGTCAAATCCCTCCGAAACTCAGCACCGTGTGCACAGACGGTTTTCTCAAGGTGACTCCTAAAGTCCACTTCCAGCAATCAGCTACACCGGTAACGCAGTTATACCTAGTGTCAGGTAATACGTACAATCCTCAAACCCAGTGATACAAATTGAGAGCCCAAAGAAAGTGGGAAGTTTGTATTCAGCTTCAAGGGCATGGATATCGGTATCACCACCCTGTATCCATGATGACCTAACAGCCTCTACCCATTCAGCTCTAAGGACTTTGACATCCGTCCGCATTTTGGCCACATATTTATATTTCGGGGTGTTTATGTCACCGACTATGAGATGAGTGACATCGGATGTAAGATCAAACTTGTGAACTGCGCCCATCTGGCAAGCAACGTCAGTCAATCGGGACTACATAAAAGTCAGTAATCGTATAATTAAAATAACAGGAGGCCATCCCCAGTACTTACTCGATGTTCTGCGAGGATAGAAGTGCAGCAAAGAATCACCCCAGCAAGAGGCAGCTCCTTGGCTTCACGATGTTAGCTTTCAGTATCGACAACAAAACAGAGTATCCTACCGAGTTCTGCATCTTGGGCCATTCTTCATCCTCAGAGGCCCTTATAATCATCCTCTGCTCCCGTTAGAAAGGCCCAGGAGAGCCGAATAATTGCAAATACTCCCGAAACCAGGCAAGTCGCTTTTCTTCTTTCTCTATCTTTCAACGCTTCACAGAAAACGCGAACATGACGAAATAGAGTTCAGATCCGATTATCTAAACATTTGTTATCTTATCAGTCACGTGAATTGACGCGCTCGCGACTGTCAAAAGTTCCAAATCGGGAAGAGAGAAAAAGGCGAGAATTGCAAGTTCAACGCAAATTTCTATACAAAACACGCAGTATTGCGGGTGGCTCTATGGGTTTGCGGTGCTGATTCTTCTTTTTTGGATACCTGGCTGCTCCGGGTTGATACCTAGTGGCTAACGGCATCGTCAATTCAATTTACATGCTTCGTTCGCTGCAGAAGCCGTGGCCGCTCTTCCCCCCTATACGTTTGACCTTAGCTCTCCCACGCAGGTTCGCGGGACTCTCAACGTACGCCCAACCGCTGCAGCCGGAAATGTTTACCAGAGCGGTTCAAGAGCATCCCGAGCGGCAAAAGAAGCCGACTGCACTGCAGCCAAACCGTGACCGATTAAACTCAACGTTACAGTCACGCAGCCTGGAATCAAGTTCCCAGCGAAAGGCCGATTTCACATCAGAACTCAGCAGAAGCGCTCTGGATGATCTTCATGATGCGGTATATTTTGGCGAAAACGATTCCGAAAATGAGGAATTTCTTGAGATCGCATACCAAATTTCCAAGCCCACACAATCGAAATCCGCATCTCACAATTCATCCATTGCAGATGCAAATTCACGAAAAAATGATAGCAGCGCTCCCACTGAAGCTATGCCTTCGAGCAGCTTTCCAATACCATGGTCATCCTCTCCGCCGCGTGAACAGGAGCGTCCAAATCCACCGCATCAGCAGCCGAAGAAGAGAACACTACCTTGGGAGGATGCCATGCAAGATAATAGAGGGAAATTTGGCCCTTGTTCAGGCTATTCAATTACCAATCGAAATACCTCCTTCAAGAAGCCCATGCTGAAAAGCCATGACGTTCAGCCCACACCACAACCAACCCCTCTTGACGACCAAACGGTCAAAACAGAACAAATACCCGTGAAAGAGAAGAAACACATGCCGTGGGATAAGACTTTTAGTGATGTCAAAGAAGAACAAAAGGAGCTGAGGAAACAAATGAAATCTAAGTCTCTCGCTGCATCAGAGAAAAGGCTTAATAACGTTCAGAGACCCTCCAATACCCGGGTTCCATCTATATTTTTCAGCGAAGAACAGAATCAGGTCATTGAGACCATCGTGAAAGAGGGCAAAAGTGTTTTCTATACTGGTTCCGCAGGAACTGGTAAATCTGTACTCATGCGGGAAATCATAAGGCAGTTACGGCTTAAATATTCACGGGATTCTGATGCCGTTGCTGTAACCGCGTCAACGGGTCTAGCAGCTTGTAATATTGAGGGAGTTACACTGCACAGCTTTGCGGGTGTTGGACTTGGGAAGGAGTCAACTCAGGAGCTCGTCAAAAAGGTCCGTTCATCAACCCACCCAATTCTGATGTAGCCGGCTAACCGTATCACAGGTAAAACGTAACCTAAAGGCCAAGAATCGTTGGCTAAAAACCAAGGTACTCATTATAGATGAGATATCAATGGTCGACGGAGACTTTTTTGACAAACTGGAGGAACTAGCCCGTAAGATCAGAAACAACGGAAGGCCTTTTGGTGGTATCCAGCTTGTTACCACTGGCGATTTCTTTCAGCTCCCACCAGTTCCGGAAGGTGGAAAAGAAGCAAAATTTGCCTTTGCTGCAGGAACGTGGAATACGTCGATTCAACACACGATTCTCTTGACGCAGGTGTTCAGACAAAGAGATCCCGATTTTGCCAACATGCTGAACGAAATGCGACTTGGACGTTTAAGTCCTTCTGCTATTCAAGCATTCAAAGACCTCTCACGACCGTTAATTTGTGGTGATAACATCGAGGCAACAGAATTGTATGTCATTGAAAGAGCCTTAGTCTATATTTGTTGGAAACTAATAGTGACACTTTGCAGGTTTCCTACGAGGGCAGAGGTGGATCGAGCTAACTCCGAAAGAATGAATCGCCTTTCAGGATCAGTCATGACATTTCATGCCGCTGATTCGGGAGCAATCAAGGATGAACAATTCCGAGCTAAACTATTGAGCAACTGCATGGCACCCGCTACTATTCATCTCAAAAAGGGGGCCCAGGTGATGCTTATCAAGAACAAAGACGAAACGCTGGTAAACGGATCCCTAGGAACGGTTATTGCGTTCATGGATGAGGCTGGTTTTGATAATCATATCAGGGAAGGCCTAAAACGTGAAAATGGCTACTATGACTTTAATGATGAGCCAAGCCAAGCCAAGGAAAAAATTAAAAGTATGGCTTTTGACCAAAAAGCCAACACTGGAAGCGTTAATACATCGCGGCAATACCCCCTTGTTGCCTTTATTTTACCCGATGGATCAGAAAGGCAACTTTTGTGTATGCCCGAAGCCTGGAAGATCGAGCTTCCCAACGGCGAGGTTCAGGCTCAAAGACTACAGGTTCCATTGATCCTTGCGTGGGCGTTATCAATACATAAAGCCCAGGGACAAACCTTGCAACGTGTCAAGGTCGATCTCGGAAGAGTGTTTGAAAGGGGCCAAGCTTATGTTGCTCTTAGTCGAGCAACGTCCAAGGATGGATTGCAGGTATCCCGTTTTGATCCCAAGAAAGTCATGGTACATCCCAAAGTGACAGAGTTCTATCAGAACCTCTCAAGTATCAGCGATATTAATAGTGGAAGGAAGTCTAGAGTTGCTGTAGATGGGACCCATTCGGATGTGGAAGACGATTTCGATTCAATAGCCCAGTACGTTTAGTACAGCATGTATATTATGCTTTCTATATCACATGTCTAGGCCAGATATGACTTTAATGATAAGATATTTCTCCGAATATATTCAATATACCCGCCGGTGATTCGCACTGGTCGATAATAATAACATACAAATGAAACAAAATAGGTATATATATGAGGAAGACTGTCTGGCGCTAATCTGAAGACACGTAGGTCTCCCACTATCTATTTTCTGAAGAGGCGCTCATGAGATAAGTAATCTTTTGGATTATCCCTTAGGTGCTGCTGTTCCATGTATGACTGCCTCCGATTGCCATCAAGCCGCTTCATTCGATCATACTTCTCGTACGTATCCAGTACACGCTGGGGGGTGTATCCTTCAAGCTGAGTAGTCTGTGCCTGGTCAGGACTACCCCTAGCCAAGCTTTCAGCTAGAAGGCGAGCCTCAACCTCTCTCTCAATCGACAACTGGCCCTCCAAGTATCGTTGATGAGCCCTCTCTTTCTCTCGCAGTTCCAGTCCCCAGGCTAACTCAGCGGGAGAAAGGCGATCAGGGCTAGGTTTTCGTGGGCCTTTTTCGTGAGAGTACACCTTATGACGTCTGGAGGGATAAGAGACGGTCTCAGACCGAGCTAGTTTTCCAGGACGTTTATGTGTGCTGCTGAATGGTTGAATTTCAACGGACCCTGAGGGATATTGCGATCCCCTGGGTCTGGGTAGCTCAATAGGATAAGAGGTCTTTTCGGATGGGCGGACGTGAATGCGATACCCAAGAGAGTGACGATGCTTTCGATGGCCGTTACGGTCACTGCTTTTGCTCTTCTCACGGCTCTGGTTCCTCCGGTTCTTATTGGAACAATGGCGACGGGTATCGTCGTCAGGAGGATAATCACAGTTATCATATTCTCCAAAAGAGAAAGAGTCATCTGTGACGGAGCTTGCATTTTCTGGATCAAACAGATATGAATCATAGTCCGAAGGTTCACTATCTTCTTCCAGCCACTTTTCCACAATCTCCTGCTCCCTCCTGGCTTTTTCTGAATTGACAATCTTTGGAGGGGGTTTCTTTTTCTTGTGCTGTTTGTTATGAGGCTGCTTCGGTTCATGGGTAGCCGCTGATGGCTGTTCCTGTCTAGCATAGCGCTGGCTATGATGCTGGTAGTCCCGAGTCGGCATTTGAATATTGGGTACTTCTTCAGCTCTGTGTCGAGATCGTTGAGGATGAGTTGACTGAGGTTCCTGATTCACCATTTGAGAATCTTTATATACATTTTCATTCCCAGGATGATGCTGGTTTGGATCAAAAAGTGCCTGGCTATAAGCTTGGGTATTGTGTGGCTCCTCTAAATACCCAGGATGGCGTTGACGGAGTGGCATAGGAACCTCATTTAAACCTTGAGCACCGGGACGAAGTTGGTGATATCGAGGGTCTGGATGAGCATCGTGTGGAGCTGGTAGAAGGCGAGGTTGTGATTGATGTGATCCAATCGGGGGTGGTGGAATCTGAATCATTTCAGGAAGTATCTTCCGGTCTTGTTGATGGTTTCCTGGAGTAACATGTGGTATCTCCTGCTGCATCATCTGACGTGGATAATGGGGAGGCCCGAACTCCTCAGGGGGGGGTTCTTGTCCATGTTCAGGATGTAAAGCTCCTTGGAAAGGAATTTTTCCCATCATCCGAAGTTCATGGTTTGTTGGAGGGGCGTGGGTAAGATGACTCTGGCCTGGGTTGTGGGAATTAGGGTTAAATGGGTGCTGCCCATGATGCGGGTGTGGATGGTCCTGTGGATGTCCCTGTGGAAGATATGGTGGGGGCTGAGGCTGGTGTTGGTAAGGTGTAGGTTTGCTCTGCGAGTGAAGTGGAAGGTTATGTTGGGTGTTTGCTGGTGGACGTTTCTGGGGATTCGGAAGTTTCTGGGCATCAGAAAGGTTTAATCCAAGACCAGATGGTTGAAAAGGACCGCGGGGTGGATCAGCAAACTCCGCACGCCCCATACTTATGTCATGTCTAGCAGTATCCCTAGCCCTTTTCTCCTTTATAATTTGCGCAGCGCGACGGGCTCTAAGTATTTCCGGCTTTAGCTGCTTGCAGAGAACAATGGCTATTGATATCGTCAAAGCCTTCTTAGGACCAAAAGTAGACCGCACATCTCGAGTGGTGGAATTGATATAAACGCAGATCCAGTCGTATTTTGGATCATTGCACTCTTGCTTCCTCTGCTCGATGAGGTTATCAATGTGTTGCCGCTTAACCAGGGTCAGCTCATTATATGCTTCTGTGACGGACTGGCGCTTTTGTTTATGAACCAGGTCGATTAATTCTGCCTGGGGAAGAGGCATCTTGCAGATGGTTGCAGTGGCCCAGGTTCTTTCTCCACCAGGCGTTTTCGGCTCTCCACGATACAGTGTCCATCCCTCGTATGTGCTCTCATTAAGCTGGGCCCCTCGGGAGAGGCTACTATCAAGACCAAGCCTGCTGAAGCGGGTGTCGAGATCTTCAAAATCGTCGATGTCTGGGGTATCGGGGAAGTGACCAGGCATTGGCATATCTTCTAAGCTCTGGTGTGGAGAGCTATAACCCCCGTTATGCATTCCGTGATGCATATCCATGGTAAGTAGGGGGCGTGTAACAATCTACTGGGCCGGCTAAATCTATTGGCTATCAGTACATTTTATAAACATGCAAGAAAGGATATGTAATAAGGGACTGAGGGGGGAAATACCTTGTAGGCGCCTCAGCGTCGACTACTGTGCTGTGTGGGAAAGAGGAGTTGGTTTTGTGATGCTCATGAGCAAGCCAGGCAACAGCAGGGACAACAGGCCACGCCTTTCGTTAAAGCTATGCCGCTGATTGATGTTCGGTGTGGGTATCAAAATATTGCCGCGTAATAGGTTCAGACGAGCTGGTATTTATCTGGGCAAGAGATATGAAGGGTTCCTATAAAGTAAAGGGAGCGTCTCTGCGCCTCTTCTCTCGCTTTTGCGTTTTGGGGCTCCTTCACACCATCAACATCCATGCAGGCGTAAGGCTTCCAAAAGTCAAAAGAACCTATGGTTGGCTGACGGCGCCCAGGGAAAAAAAAAAAAAAAAAAAAAAGAAGCAAACAAATGGAAGAAAGCACTCATCGGGCGTTGGTGAGAGAGAAAGGCCAGGAGTCTGGCGTGATAGCTAGTTAATATAACGAGGAAACGTTGCCTCCCCCCTCCTCGAAGCGCCCGGTTGTCCTCCACGGATGTGCTGATATTAATAGTAATTGGTTGGAGCATGTTATGCACTACTGTTTGTAAGCATGCTTGACCACTAAGATTGGGGAGTTTTCCTGGAGACGGCCGATCATGATAATATTGTAACCGACTGTTCGCAGTCATGATTAGTTATTTCGAGCCATGACCCAAGGGAAAGTCCTGGATGTTTCGAGGTACACGGTCTGCAGTCTTCTAAAAATGATTTGTTTCATCTCAATGAGTTGTGGGCTCTGGTGAGTTAGTTATGTTAGCCCTCGGATGTTGGTGGACATGTTGGCTGAGCTTTAAGGCTGTGGCTGGCAACAAGGGATGGGTTTATCCTTGCTCAGCTGAGTGGCTCGTTAGTAACATGGGGCATGCTCGACCCTGGTAAGTGAGTGGCATACAACCGTACGCGGCTCTTAGGCAGACACTTTCTCAAGTCTGGGGAAGCACAGCCGGCATCTTGACTTGATTGGTGCTTTCGGTCAGATTGCTGCCGGGCGCTCGAGGACACCATTAATATAACCAGAGCTCCCTGCAAGGCATCCAAAAACATCTCAAAATTGCCCGGTTGGCGCCTTGCATCGTCAAATATCAACCTTAACCTTGCTCAGGAAGTACGAGTATGGGTCAGCCTCGAGACGGGCGTATTTGTGGTCGCAAAGGCGCACTCTCCTTGGCTGCATGTTTTTTAAAAGTGGCTAAAGGGATGAAAATACACGGGCTTCTTTGGATGATGATGGTATTGGTTTAGAATAGAGGAGCAGCATGTAAATACTGTAGAGCATCCGAAGAAGTCCGTTGATACTTGGAAGGTGGTCTTTTTCAGCCGCATTAAAATATTCAACTTGGCGTATTACATAATTCAAATTAACTACTGGGGCCACAACCATAAACTGGAATCCCGAAGCCCTGATTGGTGAATTAAGTCGTTTGATTTATTTTTCCTCCCCTTCTCTTCTTCTTTTTGCTGACGAAAGGTACTGTGACTTGGACTAAGTCTATTCTTATCTCTGCACGCAAACATGAGCTATATGTATGGAGCGGTTGTAATGAGATAAGGCCAATCCCTTTATCCACAATAAACCTTCCACCTCATAGTTATATCCGTTACCTTTGGGGTTTCATTGAAGGCTGAACGTCTTTCCGAAGGGTGTAGGCCATATGGGGTTATCGAACCGCCATTGTATCACAGCCAACACAGAGTCCTGCCCAACGATCCAGAAAGTGAACTTACACGGACTGATTAACTGACGCTGCTCACCTGCTCCCCTTTTCTCTAGACAGAGAGGGTCCGCTTGATTTAACGACCACAATCCGGCCATCAGACATTGCGAGAAAAAGATCGCAGGACTTCTTTTGGTGGTGGTTTCTCAGAGGGTTTAAAAATAAAAAAAAAAAATAAAAAATAAAAATAAAAATAAATTTTGTAATTTAGCTACTAAGAGAATTAATAAATGGGAATAAAATATTATTGGTTGAAAATTCACATCACTTGGCAGCTAAGCCAACTAACCATAGTTTACTTAAATCCGCGAATCATCTGCCTCGAAAGTTCGTTCGAGCTCCAAATTGATTCTGAAGCTCTTCAAGCTCATCTCAACCCGAGTTCGAACACTTAGCTGGCAACAGTCAGAACAGAAGCTAACATGGGGAAAGGTATGTCCAACCGTGATGTTTCAATAGTTATGATCGACGACAACCACTAACTTCAACTTCTAGGTACTGATAAGCTCTATGTACGTGACTTGGATATCAGCTCAACTCATACCTGCGCCGAATCGAAACTGACGCGAATATCTCACAGATCACTCACTCAGAATGGGCTTCAGAGGATGCATTCTCTGCCAGTGTCGGTGCTGGCGCTGCGCGACAGAAGACTGGTGGATCTCATGCACCTTTTAAACGCCTACCCTTCAACTTTTGCTCTCTATCACTTCAGCCATTTTCCCACCCCGTATGCACATCCGATGGCATTATATTCGATCTGACACACATCCTACCATGGATCAAGAAGAACGGCACCAACCCGGTGAACGGTGCTCCGATGAAGAACTCGGATCTCATCAAGCTACACTTCGCAAAGAACGAATCGGGCGAATATGTTGATCCTGTCACATATAAAGTATTTACGGACAACACACATATAATCGCGCTGGGAAATACGGGGAATGTATTTGCCTGGGATACCGTGCAAAAGCTCAACATCAAACCTAAAATGTGGCGAGATCTAGTGAATGACGAAGAATTCGGCAGGAAAGATATAATCACATTGCAGGATCCACATAATGTGAACGCCCGAGATCTCAGCACCTTTAAATACCTGAAACACGGAGAAAATAATACTACAAGTGGAAAGGATGACCAGGGCATCAACCTTAACGCCATGGGCAGTTCAGCAAAGATCCTACGAGCGAAGGAGGCCGTGGCTAAGGCGAGGGCCGAAAGAGAGCAAAAGGCAGCATCAGCGGATGCGCTGAGCCAGAGACAAAAAGATAATTTGTTGGTCAAGAAGAGTTCGACTACCAGCCAAAGTGGAAAAGCTGTACCATTTAATGCAGCAAGACACACTACTGGTTTAGCTGCTGCCTCTTTCACCAGCACGGGCCTAACACCACATACCGCTGCAGATTTGTCAATAATGACAGATGAAGAATACATGTTGAAACGTGGCCGAGTGAAGATCAAGGGCTACGCTCGGATAGTTACCAATTTGGGTGATCTTAACATTGAACTGCATACAGAACATGCACCGAAAGCCGTGTGGAATTTCATTCAGTTAGCTAAGAAGGGCTACTATAAGGGTGTTACCTTTCACCGGAACATTAAAGGCTTCATGATTCAAGGTGGTGATCCAACTGGAACTGGCAAAGGTGGGGAGAGTATTTGGGGCAAAAGTTTCGCAGATGAGGTTATTGGGCCTTTTAAGCATGATTCTAGAGGAACGCTTAGTATGGCGAATAAAGGAAAGGATACCAACAGCAGTCAATTGTAAGTGAATCCTACCTACCTAGGATAAAGCCTGCCCAGGTGTGTCTCCAATTACTAACATTCATCAGTTTCTTCGCTTATCGTGCCGTCCCTCATCTGAATGGGAAGCACACTATCTTCGGCCACCTAATTGATGACCCTTCTCCATCCTCGCCAACACTAGATGCAATGGAAGTAGCACCCGTGGACTCCAGCACAAACAGGCCTACTCCTGCCATTACCATGCTTGATGTAATGGTATTTGTTGATCCATTTGAAGAATTTCTCAATAAGAAACGAGAAGAGGAAATTGCTCAGCAATCAGTATCCGGGGCAAGCGGTGACACCAAGGATAAGGGGGATGATGACCAAGTTACATGGACCGGCAAGAGATTACGTGGATATGGCTCAAATGAGAGCGGCAGCGCTTCGGGCAATGTATCTGGAGTTGGTAAATATTTGAAGGCCTCAGCTGCTGCCTCCAGGGGAAATGAGGATGAGATCGTCGGGTTTGTTGATGAAGATGAACCCGAGTCAGAACATGCACGTAAGAAGATCAAGAACGCAGGACGCGGAGGCTTCGGAAATTTCGATTCTTGGTGATCAACTGTTATAGGAATCTACACAAGGCCAGAACAAACTTTCGGAACGGCGACCTCGGATATCCCACTTGGATATACAATTCCACGGATGGTTTCAACATTGGATTTTGGCGATATAATTTCCCAGATCACAAGCACCACCCCGTTTTTCCTTGATGGTTGCGCATCGTAGTAATTAACGGTGCATATTCCACTCAATCTGCTCTCATGCCTCTTTTCTTTGTGGTCTCTGCATTTCTGAAGCACGGTCGACCCAATGCCCCTGGAACCAAGGTAGTCTCTGCAACTCAGCCATATCCATACGGTCAGACACATCCCTTGCTAGCAAATGCCTTAGTGCGTCCACGCAATCTTGCGATAGCCGTTCGTCTATTGGCAACTCCTCGTTCATTATTCGCAACCTTCTGTCGTAGAGATAAAGGAACTTCTCCTCGTCATAGTCATCCCACGCATACAGCGTCTTGATGTCCCCTTTGTTTGCTTGAGGTTCCGGTGTTTCCCACGGACAATACCCATGAAGCAGATCATAAACCAGAACTCCAAATTTCCAGAGATATTGTACCCGCCGGTCGTGGCTTAAGGGTATATGTCGTTCTGCAATGGTGTGTATCGGATTCTGGAGATCATCCGTCGCAAGCTGCAAGGCTATTTCTGGGTTAACAAAGTATTCGAATGCCTCGATATAGCCATACCGTTCCGCTTCCCATCCATTATTTTCAGACACGTACACCGCCCCGAAGTCAATAAGCTGGGTCTATACTAGGGAGTTAGCTTAGCATTCAATGGCAATGGGGGATAAGTTAGTAATATCAAACATACGTTAAGATTCTTATCCACCAAGTAATTCCGATGGCTTAAGTCTCCATGCAACATTTTCATATCCATAAGGTAAACAAGTGCCTCGAGGATATTAGAGGCAATCTTACAAGCTTGGATCTCGGTGACTCTCGTCTGTTTCAAATGTGTCAACTGTTCTCCATTATACCCAGGGAAATGTTGGGTCGGAATGGTCCCCGGCTCAAGTAACAGCGTTTCTCTTAAAGGATCATCATCCAGGCTGCTAGCGGACATGACTATTGACGCAAACTCCTTATGGATATATACCGAATCGATCTTTGGGAATCTTTCGCATTCCGTGAGGAGCTCAAGAACAACTGCTTCTACTGGCAGGAAACGTTGCTCTCCAGTATAAACTTCTCGATATTCACACGTTTGAGCCCTAGCGAACCCGTGTATCGATAATGGGCATTGCAGTTCCATTTTGATAGCGAATTGACGTGGCGGTTTAGGTGCGTAGGCCCTTGCCCTCGGATCACTAGGCTCAATCAACGCAGCCATGCTGGCCCTTCGGTACCCATAATCCCAGTCACAACCCGTGGAAAATCTAAATCCCGTGGCCGCTGCTGGTCGACTCATCTCCCTAGCGGCATATACTCGACCGAAGGCTAGAAAATACTTAGCTAAATGAATGGAAAAGCGAGCTTGGGCTACCCTGCACTTACTACCTCTTCCGATCTTTCCATAGATCGTAAACCGCTTTGCTATATCTGGACACATATTGTTGAAATAATCTCGCTCGAGGTTGTAGTGGTTGTCACTTGGAAAGTTCTCTATATGTGACCGTAGCAGATGGTATCTGAAGGTATCTGCCCTCCCTTCCTGCACAGGACGTATGGAGGTGGGGGAACCGATACGCTCAAGGTCGTTGCATTGAGAGAGTATAAGCGGACCGGCAAGGCGCCGTCTCAGAACGATCATCTGTAGCTCCTCACCAACGTGACCCTTGATCATGACATTGATAGATCGTCCAGCGTCGTCTACGGGCCTTCCAGCGCCATAGTAGTTGTCCAAGTCGAGTTCAGGCTGGTTGTACGCCATGGTTCCCGTATGTAGATGTTTGAATATGCACTCGAGGCTCAGGATGTGGTATAGATTTCCCGCTAGTTTGGAATCCAACAACTGTTTACCCCTTTGGTGGGATGGGCTGGATGAGAATATTAAGGAGAGAGCAACAATAACTCCATTTGATATGCCGCTGGCCATGTTTATATACTGTGGAGTTTGTCTGGAATCAGTAACCATAATCTCAATAGGCCTTGTTCCGATAGACAACAAAGCCTTTGGTAACAGACGAGGTTCTCCCAAAATGAAAGAACCTGTGTATACTGAACATTCAGAATTTCTCCGATTCTCGAGGCAGCGAGGATAAAAGGGGTGCTAATACAATATAACACACCAAATAAAGAGCCTCATGAGATAAAGGCCATGGGCTAAAGGCGTCACGGGAAAGGGGTAACGTAATAAAGGATAATTTCCTAAGTTATACTGAAAAACAGTGGCAAGTAAACGTGCTTTTTCTGGCCCATAATTGCATTGTGAAGAAAAGGAAGACGCCATATTCCCGGTAACCGACCACAATAAAAACCTTTAAGCACCAAGCCATAGCCGTTCCACCCACAATGCCTAGGAAAAATAAGAAAAAGGGAGGAGAAAAAATAGACACAGGTAAAAGGAAAAATAACACCCTGTGAGTCAAGGAGTAGAAAGCTGGAATCTCAGAGGTACTACCCAGGCGCTGCCAAACTCAACTCCGTGACGACGACGGGTTCCGTATTTTCTCCATGCAACAGGACTGATTCCCACATCCGCAACCGCAATTTGCCAGGACTCTCCCCCTCGTGAAGACAAAGCAGTCACTAAACCTGTCTTAGGTGCACCAAGACAGATGACAAATTGGGAAGATACTGCGAGTTGGGATCCTTGAGAGACAGTTGCTTCTCCTATGTGGTATTAGTTATGGAATCGATATAAGAAAGAATATATGAGATAGGCGTATATTCAACTTACCCGTAGTTGCAGATAGGCCAGAAGGAACATCAACGGATAGAATATCAATCTTGCTTCGATTGACCCAGGATATAATTTCAAAGGCAGTTGCTTGGTCATCGGTACGCAAATCTTCGAATGCAACATGCATACCAAAAAGCGCATCGATGATAAGTTTGGGTTTAAAATCACCCATCGAGAGCCGAGCGGAAAGATCTTCCCATCGCATGACATTGCCTCCTGCTTTTTGGAATATATCAATTTGCTTCTGGAACCCGTCGGTAAATTCACCATCACGACCATTGCCTAGAACACATAGGGAAACACGATAACCACGATTGCGTAGGTGGCGAGCAGAAGCAACGGTGCGTGCACCAGTGCGATGGTTTCCCACAAACACTACGATTATTGATGGCACACGCAGCCCTGTTGCGAGGGAGATCGCTCCTTCAGCAATGCCTCTACCAGCATTCTCCGTGACGATGTCTTCAGTAAGACCGAGCTCTGAGACGGCTATTTGCTCAATCTCCACCATTTGAAGAGGGCTGATGCTTGGGCATTTTCTTCCGGTAGTTATCATGTGGAGCGCGCCGCCTGATGGACTTGACGACCCTGTCATGGAGGATGCGGAATGTTTCATGACTTTGATTGGCTGCGGGCTGACAGTACGGGCAGACGTGAGATGCGGGCGACCCAGGATGGTGAATTGAGCGGAAGACGGAGTAGACGCTATCACACCACTACCCTTCCGCGATGGCATAGAACGGTTGCGACTTGATGTCCGGCCATTGCCTGTGCACTCATCGTCCGTTTCTCCAGCTTCGCTATTCCATTGGGAAGTATGCTGCTGAGTTGTAGAGTCCAATACATTTTCTGTATAGTGAAGGTTCTTTCCTCCATTTGTCCCAGGTTTAGGCCGCCTATTGAAACTTGCTAAGCGATCTTCCAGAGGGGTCATATCATCATTTCTTATTTCATCAAACACTCTTCGTTTGTCAAACTTGGATAGATTACTTTGGAAGTCAAAGTCACCAAGCTCCTGGATATCAGTGGCCTCTTCAGTTGCCCATCCATTCAAATTCTCTTTCTGGGCTCGAGTCTTTTTAGCCTTTAGCTTTGACTTGTTGGCGGTTGGAGAAGTATCAATTGGTTCGATGAAGGCAGTCTGCCTCCATCCCTTGCCCAGGACGCCCTTTCTACCATGGCTGGTTGCAGAGACATGCATTTCAGTCGCAGTGATATCAGTTGTTTCTCCACCCTCCTTGTCTACTTTCCCTCTATTACCTCGCTTGCCCCGCTTCCCCACGGGCTTAAGTTGAGGGGCGGCTGAGCTATTAACTCCGCGAGCTCGGTCATGAGGTACGGAGTTATGCTCTAGCTCCTGTTGTTCAACAATATCTTCTCTAAGGGAAGAAGACTGGTCTGGCTTGCTAAGCTCTAAGTCACTAAAGGGTGCGTTCAGTGTGGCCGGAAGTCGTGCGTGGTGTCCAAGATGGCTCGCATGCGCTGATGTCGGCACCTCCGAGCCCCCCAGCATAACAGGTGAAGTGGAAATTGTATGCGACGGAATGGTCACTGGCTCTACCTCGTTGTTTGCATTCTGGCGTCCATCCTGTGTAGATGGGCGTTTAAAACTCAAGATCGCCGGATCCACGAAAGATGGAGCGCCTGCGCCGTGGGACACGGACTCAGATTGGGTTGAAGCTGTAGGACGTGGTAGTTGGCCATGCTGAGAGGAAGAATGATATCCACTATTGTCGAAGTGTCCATTTCTATGGTGCACTGGTGTTTGAGGAGCTGGTTCGCTGGATATCTCTAGATCTGCGATTTTTGAACCGTCGATATGATACAAGGGGAAATGCTGGCCATTCCATAAGAGTATGGCTGGACGAATAATCAGCATGGCCAGTCAGAAAGTGACGAGGTGGAGAAAACACTCACCATTCTGTAGACTCAACCTGGTCCCTACGACATCAACGACTTCACCTTTGATCCGGCAATTGGGAGGGCTCTTGAGGGTCACAAGCACGGTGCAACCGATAAACTCCGAAGCCATGGCTGTGTATATGCGAACGATGTGCAGTAGAGTGGGGGGCGTAGTCGTCAGGTATCTCCCATGCCGCCGCACAGCAAAGGTTGCCTATGAAGCCTGGCTCTCCCTCCGGCTGAAAGTGTTTCTGGCTTCTTCTTCTTCTTCTTCTTCTTCTTCTTCTTCTCGTCTCCTGCGCAAAAGTTGCTCTTCTTTTCTTGTGAGGAAGCTGAGATGGAGGCTGAGCCAGTCACGTGGGCGGTTTATCGATAAGCAGCAAACAAAAAGCAAAAACAAACAAAGCAAGCAAGGGAGAGAGAGAGCGACTTTGCAGTAAGTAGTAGACGCTGGCCAGGCGTTTGTCTGGCGCTGGCGAGGACGATTTAGGGAGAGCTGGCGTCGCTGATATCGTTTGATGCAGGCCAGGGTCATCTGGTACCCTGTGACATCCCATCTTTATTTGCAATTCCCTTTGTTTGTGGGAGAATGACTTTGCTGTGTTTCATAGCGGCAGTTCCGTTCGGCGAGGACTGGCCGTGGCAATCCGAGTAAGCCGGTAGTGAGAAATGGTCTATAGCAGGCTGTGATATTAGCTGTGGTATCCGGGGACCCGAGACGGACGAAGGGAAGAGATAGCAGTGGGAAAGTTGGTTAAACCTGGAGAGGGAGGAATCGGACCACCGCGCGAAGACACGGGCTTGCTTGCTTTGAGCAGACAAGGAATTAAGAGAGTTAAGAGCATCCAGGCATCAGATTGAGAAAAATATCCGGTAGTTATAAGGCAGAGTATTCCGGGGAGCATAACCGTATAAACCTGGCAGTGTAGCAGCCTTCTCTCTGGTATCAACTGTCGGGATGTCTCGTCATCAGGGAAAAGGTCGAGACTGTCCTCGGTGCAAACATGACAAACATCCTCCAGCGTGTCTCTACAATCGCCCGCTGCGAGAACGACAGGACCATTGGATAGCGACAGGAATAGCTGCATAAGGACTGCAAGACCACGATAAGGCCAATTGGTCCTTGTTCGCCTTTTTCAGTCGTCTGGTGGCCTCGATAAAATGCTTGATTTTATGGACTACATCCAGCTCGCCTTCTCGGACGCCTCGGGATGGAACCGCGATAACTCATACTCTACCCTTACAGACACAGCGAAAGGTACTAGAGATTGCTATCAGATATTAGCCATCCATCTTGCAAACAAAATGAATTACTAGCATAGACTAACATATGAGTATAGCTCTTCTTGACTTTTCAACCCCCGAGCGACTCCGCGTTCACCTCTCGTCTCTGTCCACTCCCCAGTTTGCGACTGCCTACACGCTCGGAACGGTTGGCCTCATAGATGGCTCAGTTTCATACCTAGTCAGCACCATACCCCTCGACAAGACAACCAGTAGAAGTGCCTTGATACCCCTGCGCAGCCTTGTACCAGGCTACAGACAGATATATCCCCCTGCTGTCCCGCTGGACCCTGGCTTGGAATGGACCTTTAGGGATAGCAACAATATTGGAGACGCAGGGGAATCAGAAAGGAAGAGAAAAGCCACCCTCCTTCATGCAACGCTACATTTACCTCCTCCAACAACATTAACGGCTCTTTTCCTACATCGTCCTTCACCAACAACCAAGCTATCAGTCGCACTGTATTCTACTCAGGCTACCAATACATCGAAATCTGCACCTCCACAGGCATCCTTACTAACTCAATTGTTCCACGACACCGGAAAATACAGCACTGAATTCTTATTCAGTACAGACAACGCCTTATTCGGATTCCGAGGATTATGGAACTTTGGTCCTGATCCAAGAGAGCAGCCGAGTGATCATAGCGATACAAAAAACAATGACCAGCAGAAAAAGCCGTCTTGTTTGCAATCCGTGGCACTCCTCTCTGCAGGCGGAGAGGCTTATTATTCGCCAACTTCTAGTGTCATCGGCCTCTCGACCGGTGTGCGCTTTACTACATTGCCTGGTGCTTATGACCTTCGGTCAGGACCGGGTTCCTTACCTGCTGTAGGCGGTACTAGTGGCAGCCAAATCCCCTCTCCAATCTCAACATTTCCCTATACGTTAACTCTAACGTTGACTCCTCTAACGGGTTCTTTGTCAACGACTTACTCGCTTCTCGCTTCCCCAAATCTGGCCTTGAGTTCTCGTTTTGGATTCAACGTATATAGCTGGGAAAGTGAAATGGTTGCTGGATGTGAATTATGGCGCAATAAGAAGAAGATAAATTTGCATCACTACAACCCCGACGGAAGCATTGATGATCTGGCTTGGGCGAAGCGAAAGTTGGGTCTCCTGCCACCATTAGAACCCACAGATCAGTCGTCATCATCATCGCCTTCAGTCTCCTCTCTGTCTTCAGAATCGGTCATAAAACTCCGCGTTGATCAGTCTTTAAAAGTACGGCTACTTTGGGAAGGCCGTATAAAGGACCTGCTGGTCAGTGCCGGAGTTGCACTTGGGCCAACCACTCCACATTCCCCATCGATATCATGCTCGGGTGGATCTTCGTCTAAAGGCTATGGATGGACCGGTATGGGCGTGTCCGTGTTATACTCATCATGATTTAACTACGATTCAGTTTGATTCCCTCTTATATACCCTCGATTTTATAAGGGCAAGCCCAATCCCCTCGGCAATTTACTGATATAATGCTAGATCAATTACTAGTCTTTGGGTAATGATAGACTATTGACACGTTAACTATATTTAATGGTCTCTATTTAACATTAGGGACGCCCTGGTGAATACCACACTGTTAGTCTTTCACAGACGCCATCATTTCTTGTATAATATGTTTACAAGCGGGAGTTGATAATATCGACAACTATTACTGTTGTTAGCTGCATATCTGGAGGTATAGTATGTGGTGACTTACAGGCAGGCTTCAAGCTGGCGCCTCCAACCAAGAACCCGTCAACGTCCTTCTGCTTAGCCAATTCAGCGCAGTTCTTCTCGTTGACACTTCCTCCATAGATAACACGGGTAGCCTCAGAGACAGCGGGAGAAACGGTCTTGCAAAGCCATTCACGGATAGAAGCGTGGACTTCTTGAGCTTGCTCAGTAGTAGCGACCTTTCCGGTTCCGATAGCCCTAGATAATGCATTAGATCAACTTTGAATCGTCACCACCAAATTTGTTTAATGAACATACCAAATGGGTTCATAAGCAATGACAATGTTGGACCATTGCTGTTCAGTGACTTTGTCGGCAATAGCTTGCAGTTGTCGGGTAACAACGTCAACGGTCTTGTTGGCCTCTCGTTCCTGTTGAAAGGGTATTATATCAATTTACTGCATCTGTCTGGAATTTCCAATTTATATGGTAGTCCATACCTCGAGGGACTCTCCGATGCAGACAATGACGTTCAATCCACCTTCCACGGCGGCCTTTGTCTTGCGTGCAACAAACTATAGCCATAAGTAGCAATTGGTTAGCTCCGCAGTATACTTGATAGCAGGCGTGAATAACCCTACGTCATCATCCTCCTTGAGAATAACCCTTCTCTCACTGTGTCCGGTCAAAGTCCAGGTGATCTTGGAATCCTTCAACTGATCGACGCTAAGCTCTCCAGTGAAAGCACCGTTTGGCTTATCAAAAACGTTCTGTGCAGCAACTCCGATTTTGGAGTCTGCTTGGCTGCGGGCGAGGAGAAGGTAGATGGCCGGAGGAGAGATAACCACTTCGGTGTTGGCGTCGAGCTTAGCATTGTTGAGGTTGGTAATGATGTCGGAAATTGATTGAGATGTTCCATTCCTGTTATGCCCCAATTAGCTATTACTTCATGTCTATGTCTCGTGGTAATAATTGTGGTGGGGTTGTGGCTCACATCTTGAAGTTTCCCCCAACGAAAAATTTGCGAGCCATGGTGAATGTTGATTGTGCGTTCCCGTAGATTAAACAAGGAGAATTATGTCGGTAGCTAGGAATCTGAGGCAGAGGCGACGTCGAGTAATTGTAGATGTTGGTAGAAATCAGAGGTTGAGCGTTTAAATATTTTGGCGGGGGCCGCGGGGCACGGCAGAAACCGGATCTTGCTGCCATCCATATTGTGGTCCGTCTCCTCAATATAAACATCTCCCACATAGCTACGAAAACTTCAACAACAAGGCATACCTAGCTGTAAATTCTCCTCTTGAAGTCTATACAAAGAAGCTTAGGCGTCTGCTCGACATAGATCTTCAGATCGCGATACTTATCTCGGCTAGAATCCGCACTGGGCGCTGTAAAGGCATGGAAAGCTGGCCCACTATTACGTTACCCCGGGTAGATCTGGCAGTCGTCCCAGATCAAATGTCAGGGATAAGACAGACTCACCCTGCTGACAATACCTGGAACAGGATTCCAGAGCTTACGTTTAAGTACTCACCATGATTCGCAAGTACAATATTATTAGGAGTATCGGGAATGCGGCCCGAACCTCGGTCTAAGCCTTACAATAAAGAAAGGGATATGCTCTCATTTTTAAGTATGTATATGCTGATTAGTTGTCGTTTGGCACAGAAATTGAATAATCTACTTAGCTGGTCGACTATTAGCAAGCCTGAAATACTAAAAGAACTTTCCACTAGGGCGTTCTTTGGTACTCGATGGCTCTGATAATGTTTTGTGTTTATATAAATTATTAAAAGCGCACATGAAGTTGAAAGTATAGAATTCTGGGACATTAAATTTTGCCCCGCGCCCACCTGGTATTAAAGGAGGGCTGAGATGCATTACATTTGGTCTCCCGACTTGGGTTTTAAGATAACAGAGAAAGCGTTGACTTCCGTATGTAAATATTTGAGAGGACTCTGGTTATTAAATGTGGCGGTTCTGTCCAAACAGGTGTTGAAGATATATAAAGCGGTTACACATTTAGATTGATACACTCAAGTGATTCAAAGATCTATTTTACTGAGAGCAGCAATGTTTTAGAATAGTTATGTAAATTAACTAGCCATGCACTCTGAATCTCAAGCGCAGAGCGATTCAAAGGCTAAATTTGTGTCTTTTTAATATGTCGCTAGCACCTTTTATTCAGTGAAGGTTGGAGGGTAAAAACTGTTGAGCACATTGGAATAGAAAACAAACTGAATAGATAAAGCATTGAATGGATAGTGATGTTCCTAGATATTGGACAAAGCCATCAAGAGGATAAGAAACGGTTTGAGGCTTAAACTCAACCAGGGATGAGGTAAGAATAAGGTGAGGCACGTGACATTTTAACTTCAAATAGAGTTTGATGACTAAAGCAATGGCTTGGCACAACTTGACTGTTGGAAACTAGGATTATGTTGGACGGCTAACAGAGACGACGGATAAGGAATATAGGGTTTAATTTAGGATATCTGGAAAGAGCATAGATATCTTTCGCTGGATTTGGTAGAAAGAACATAGCAGAGGTGCAAGGGAACGAGGAGAATTGATGGATTTTCACGTGACTCATGACTAAGCTTCACTGATAGGAGTGCCAAGGACCGTCTTATCAACATTTCTCCGTCTCCGGCAGGCCCTCAAAAAAAAAAAAAAAAAAAAAAAAAAAAAAAAATCGAATCGATGATAGGAAGCAAGAATCCGTGATAGAGAAGCCTTCGAGTTTATAGATACCCTTCGAAGATTTCTTCCAGCCCATCCTGAAGGCGGCAAAGAGAAAAGATTTATCCTGATCTCGCACCCAGTTCCTTCCATCCAATCCATCAATCATGCCCATCTCAAAAAGAGCGAAGGTAATCCACGAGTCCAGGACTCAAAAAAAATCGCACAAAGAGCAGACTCGTCGACTATATGCAAATGTCCAAGCTGCCGTTGAGGAATATGACCATCTCTTTGTATTCGCTGTTGATAATATGAGAAACACTTATCTGAAGGATGTACGGACCGAGTTTTCGGACAGTCGGTGAGTTTTATCTTCCATTCTACTCATGCTTCTATTGTAAGAAACTGTCTATGCAATTCCGTGTGCTAATGGTATGTTCAGACTCTTCTTTGGCAAAACCAAGGTCATGGCAATTGCTCTAGGAACAACGCCGGAAACCGCATATGCACCAAATCTCAACCTTCTCTCACCGTATCTCACTGGCGCAGTTGGATTACTATTTACATCCCGCGACCCTCAATCTGTTCTCGACTTCTTCGAATCATTCCACCCCATTGACTTCGCTCGCGCGGGGAATATAACACCTCGGTCTTTCACAATACCCAGCGGGGTCGTATATTCACGAGCTGGTGAAATACCGGCCGAAGATGACGAGCCGATCAGCCATACAATTGAGCCAACTCTACGGAAACTGAACGTCCCTACGAGGCTGGTGAAGGGGAAAGTTATGCTAGAAATGGAGGGTGACGGATATCAGGTCTGCAAGGCAGGCGAAGAGCTTGATTCCAGGCAGTCAACGCTCCTGAAGATGTTTGGCGTCGCTGTTGCTGAATTTAAAGTTGAGATGAAGGCTCGCTGGGAGAAGAAGAGCGGAGAGGTTGTGGTGTTGGAGAAACAGGAAATAATGGAGGTCGATGCATGAGGAGCATGTAGGAGCCGGTATGGATTTCCCCCTAATTTCTTTTATCTTCACTCTCAAGCGTTCCTATCGTTCGATGAGGTGATGACTGTTTGAAACCAGTGAGCATATTCTTTATTGGAGTTCGGCGATTGGCGTCAATATTTGATGACGGTTTTCTTCTTGGGATATTTATCATCCTTGGCTTTCATCTTCCACCATGCTGAAATGGAAAAAGTTATCTGTTTCTATACCATCTGGGTCTGCATTGTTAAATTTAAGAGCTAGACAATACATGACTAATGAAGGAGAAATTTAACTAGGGACCACTACCTGTATTTGCAATGATCAATGCCAGAAAGTTTAGAGGATGCTAAACAGCCTTACCCGATCTTACCTACAACAGATTATAAACGTACAATTTCACCTTCACCACAGGGTTCCATAAAGTACATACTTACCACCCAGTAAAACAGTTCCAAAGGGAAAAGATAAAAGAAAAGGCAGGAGGCGCAAGATTCAAAGTTGACAAAAGGATCGAAAGTTAAGAAGGTATAGTAGTAAGACATCACTTCGAGAATTAGTAACGCAAGACCGTACAAGACGGTAACCGGAGGGGATCAGATGGGGGTATCCACGGCGTATTCCGGCATCTTGTAGCTTGGGATAGGTCGTTATAAGGCGGAAAATATGTTACCTCATGTGTTGTAAATCGGGAGCGGATCGTCGAGTCCATTTAGGGAAAAGTGAGGTAGCGGGCGTTTCTCTTCTAAGCACCCATGATCTTACCCTTGAGGCTATGAAAAGAGCAGACAAAATGAATTTGCAACCCACCAACAAACCAGTATTGAATTGTTAGGATATGTCGGACTCAGTATCTTCGTTTCGTCCTAGGATCATCGTATGCGTCCCCCTCATGGTGTCTCTTTCTCGGGGGGTCATCATCACGCCGACTGTATCTGTCTCTGTCACGATCACGGTCCCGCGGCCTATCACGGTCACGATCGCTTCGACCACCCCGGTCTCGGTCTCTATCACGATCACGATCTCTGTCCCTATCCCTGTCTCTGTCACGATCTCCGTATCCTCTGGGCCTGACGGGTTCTCGGTTGCTGCCAGTTACACCACGATCACCCGATCTGTCGTACCTGGAGCCACCTCGGCTTCTATCGTCAAAGCGTCTGTCTCCGTAGCCATCACCATTTTGCTGACTATACCCACCACCACCCCGGCTTCCACCAGGGCCCAAGGGAGCGTTGGGAGGAGCCTGGCCCGATGCACCGTTGGCCGAACCTCCAAATCCGCTACGACCGCCCTGGAAGCCAACTCCTCCACGGCCGCCAAAGGGCCTATCGCCTCCTCTAAATCCACCTCGGAAGCCTCCCCTTGGTCCTCGGAAGCCGCCTTGGAAGCCACCAGGCCCAGAAGGGGGGCCATACCCGCCAGGACCCATTGGTCTTGAGGGCATTGCTTTGGTATATCCACGGCCACCTAGCCCACCGCCGAATCGACGTGGTTTCCATCCCTTGACCGTACGTCCACGCTCGACGTCCACAAGAGCTCGTCGGTCTTTGATGCGAATTCCATCTGTTTCCTTGTAGGCGGCTGTAGTTGTGACGCAAGAGCGATCAATTGCATTAGTCATGTATTTGATTACCTTGTCATAGCTGTATTTATATATTGAGTAGGGGATAGGAAGGGGGTGGAGGGGTGGTTCAAGATTCAGTACCCTTCATATCTTTTTCACGTTCATATACTATAAAAGCATAGCCTCGGTGCGGTTTCTTTGGGTTGGGGTTCTTCGTGTCTTTCACGATTCGAATCTAACAAAGACGAAAAAATTAGCCAGTGCACACAAAGTAGAAAGGTGGATTGTTATAGTACACACCCTCTCTATAGGGCCGAACCGGCCAAACTCCCGTTCTAGATCTGCTTCTTTGACGTCGTAGCTCAGTCTGGAGACAAATAACGTTCTAAACGGGTCACCACGAATCTGTGGATCTTCAGAAGGGTTATCTATAACCAAGACGTTAGTAAGATTGTGGACAACAGCAACAGTATTAGTAGGGTATATGCGCACATGCTGCAAGACCTTCCTCCAGGCGTTTCGTAGTCTGCTCCCGTTTCTCCATCTTCAGCCTATCCTTGCGCTGGAGCCAACTCTCCGTCGCATTATAAGGAACCTCCTCTCCATACTTCTTCAGCTCATCGAGATAACCCGCAACACCAGATATTGTACTTGGCTTCACATCGTCGGGCGCTCTGCTGATGGGCTGAAGGTAACGGAGCGGAGGACGCGGCGCAAAGAGCGCGAGGAGGTTTGGAGGGAGTTTATCCGTCATGGCTGAAAGCAGCAGAACCAAACAAGCAGCATGTAGAGTGGTCTACCCAGACTCAAGCATCAAAGACGGTCTTCGCGGGCGACAGGCAGAGATCAGGCCTTCCTCGCTGTCGCGCAGTTTGTATTTTCCTGTTGTTCGACATCGCCTTTTTTGGCTTTTTCTCAGGCTTTGTCGCGGGAAGCTTAGTCATCAGAAACTGACCAATCACATTAGATAAACTCACTGCGCATCAAAAAGTTCGAACTTTTGCAAGTTCGACAAGGAAGCAGAAGACGAAGAAGAGCAGGGACAACTTCTGGATTACATACGGGGAGGAAGTCGCAAATATGCCGGTCAAAGGAATAGTTTCGCTGGCTTCTGGCCGGGTAGGTAGCGGTCCGCCTGCTGGTTGCGTGATTCTTTGCTAATTGGTGACCTGCTGCAGAATGGTGTAGGAGCTTTTATCTTGCAGTGCAAGCGACTCGACTTTCACTACTGCGACTGGGCAGGCAGTTCCAAGGGCATGAAGTGAGTATTTTTTACTCCATATCCCTTCTTCAGTTTTGTATGAGCTGGATCTAATTGATGTCTATCAGCTCCTTCATCAAGGAAATGCTTCCCGATTTTGCCAAACGAAACCCTCAGATTGAAATCCGCATTTCTCCCCGTCCTCACAAACACCCCATCATTAAGGGACACTATATCAATGGTCGCGAGAAAGCAATCTGCGTGCGAAATCTCGAAGTGTATGAAGTTCTTCAGAAAGCGAATTTGTTGAAGGAAGCTAGTGGAGAGAAGCTACGACGGACGAATAAGCCTGTTCTCAGCACGAATGAGAGTGTCAGAGGCATCTGGTCTCCATACCATGGAGATATGAAGCAGATATAATATTTTCGACCTGGTTCCTATGTTGGGACTACACGTGGTTGACGAGAATGTACTATTATTACGGCATGGCGTGTCTGGTTTGATTTCATTCCTCGAGTGACTTTTTTTTTTTTTTTTTTTGATATTTGGAGGTATATTGCATCATACTCGGGAGTTGTATATGATTACTAGGGATATATTCTTAGATACAGGTCCTCCATCCCAACCAGTTACTTTTTCCTGGTAATATTGCAATAAAATTACATGCCGATCAGAGCAGTAGCAGACTAAAGAAAATCCCCGTAGGAGGAAATATCGAAAGAAATGTATGTATATACCGCTTAAGAAAAAAGACTGAAGATGAATGCACCTGAACCATGAGATGTTGGGTATTGAAATGAAAAGGCCGTACCCCCCTATGCACATTCTACTAAACGCCGTCACCTCGAAAAAGGCGAATCAACAAAGAGGAAAAAGTAGAGAAATGGTCGGGACTCGTAATGACCGAAGGTGACTAAAGATAAATTTGTAACATTGCCTTGGGCTGGCTGACGGATTTTCCGCAGTCAGCGACAACGCATTTCGCAAACGGTTTGGTTTTTGTATCCGGGGGTGGGTCAGGCTTCTTTGCTCGAGACGAGGCAGCTCTATTTTTGGCACATGTACCACAGTAAACCTGTAAAACATAATATTAGTATATGTTGGTAAGTAGGAGGTCTCTATAAGAGCATAGGCCACTCACATGTCCGCAGGCCCTGGAAACCCATATCTGTTTCCCGAGCTCATCCCCAGTCCCGAGCTCACGCTCACAATTTGGACAGACAGCTTCCTTATCCTCTGTGACTGTCCTTGTGAATCCATCAGGAGGCGGCGGGGGTGGCTCATACGAAGGTTCTGTTCTAGGAGCACTGCCGCCGCCAACAAATCCCGTTGTGCTATAATCCAGCTGGATGGCAAAGGGATCGAGTTCCGAAGTCAGGTCTATGCTGTTAGAGAACCATTCTAAAACTGGAAATACAGGGCTTGGTGGTCGACCGGCCCACATGCCTCTTGTGCGTACGGACAGTTCACGGCGTAATGCTTCGTCCCGGTTTAGAGGTGGCCGCTGTAACCCTCTGAACATGGTCGATATATTAGAGCGTCTTGCAAACAGCGACTGCGGAGTATTGCTACCGCTCCGGTCTGTTGTCTGTGATGCGCCTGACCTCACTAACGATCCAAGGAATTGTACCTCCGGGCTCGATGGTTGCCGTGGCTGGTGTCGTTGTCGATGTCGCTGGTGCTGCTGGTGCTCTTGCGGCTGGTGCTCAGACGCACTGTCGTCTTCCAAATCCACTACATCAACCATGATATTTCGTCCGAACCGAGGACCGCGTGTTGCTCTATTCAGCACAGGTTCTACTTCTTGCGCCCCCGGCGTTAGGGCAGGCTGTAATATTGTGTCCGAGTCCTGGGTTAAATCGATAACATCTTCTTGCAGGGAAGGCCGAAGCGTCTGTGATCGGGTTGGCACGCCGGTCGACATGACGGGCCTGCGGAAATCAAACCCGTCGCCTGGATATCTTGCGCGAGGAAACGGCGGAAGCGGTGGCAGGCGGGGACGGGAGCGGTTAACGCCGTTGTTGCTGCTGGTGCTGGTGCTGGTGCTGGTGCTGAGAGCACCGGGTGTATCTACAGAGCTTGACGACTCTCCGCGACGACTCCGGGGCGCCTGGCTTTCGCCATCAGAATGGGGCCCGGAAATCTCTTCGTGGTAGCGCTAGAACAAGAATCAAATATCGTCAGCCTGCTGTCAACTCTCAGGTATAGCGTGGTTGTTGCCGGTGTGTTCGCTTCAGAGGGTTATATTTAGCAACCGGATGTTGGTTGGACTAGCAGGATAACTGCTACTAATATTTTTTTTTTTTTTTTTTTGAGCACCCCGCTAGCAAAGGACCAAGAACTGACCTTCCTCGGCTGCCGGGCGTTAATCGTCTGTCTGCTGGGGCCGCTGTTCATGGTAGGGAGGTCGGCGTCGGCAGCGCAGGTGGGAGCTGGATGCTGGTGAAGGCGACGGCAAGTAAGTAACTAGCAAAGAGTTGGTTGTTGGTGGGAAGCAGGAAACTCCGGCGGAGTGAGCGAGAGACGCTGGGAGTGACGGCGAAAAAGAAGGCTCCCCCATGCGCTTTGTCAGATCCAAGCGAAGCCCGGTACCTAGGTAGCGTTATGGATAGCTTATTTATCTTAAGTATTTCCGCCTCCGTGGCCAGGATGGGTTGGGGGAGGCAGCGCGGCGAATGCTGTGTTGCGGAATCACATCGCTGGCTCAGTGTAAGATTTTATATGAAACTGCGTGCGGTGGCCAGGCGCAGGTTACAGGGCAAGCGGCAACAAGGGCCGCCAAAGGAGCAAAAGGGGAACGGCAGGCTGCAGAGGAGAGGGAAGATCTGCCATTCGGCCTGGCATCAAGCGAGAGTAGCGAGAGCCTAGCAGCGGCCGTCTACCATTCTCATTCACTGTGTGCGGGAATGGTCCAACTCCTTGCAGGACTCGAGCAAGGGGGGATGGGGACTGGCGAGATGCTGTATGAAGCCAGGAGACCCCTAGAATATGCCAGCGATGCTAGACCATGGCCCCTAGGATGAGGGAGAAGCCCAAGAAGACCTTTGGCAAGAATTTTGTTTATATAGGAGTTTGGATGAATATCAATATCAACATCAACAAAAGGGAGTCGGGGGGATTCTCATGGATTTATGGCGATGACATAATCTTAATATAGAAGAGCTATAGACCAGAGAGATGTCCAGTTTGAGCTCCTAGAGAGGCCTGGGAGAGGATAATGGCCAGTGTGAAGGCAGCCAAGGGGAAGGACTAAGGGATATGGGTAGTGCTCAGAGCAAGTTGGTAACTGCAGGAACCGGCCATCCATCCACTATAAGTACACAAGAAAGAGAAACAAGAAACTCCCCATCACATTAGTATAAAATCACTGAGCACTAACTGACACAATAACGCCGTCTCCATTAAGTGACAAGATGCTCTGGGCAGAGGGACCCCAGGCAACTGCAGTGGAAGGCACCGCACTTCGCAACGGCTCTGTCCAGGACTTCGAGGTCTTGGAATACTGCTGCACTGTAATTCCGTTTGGTCCACCGGTAAGGAGGAACTGTCCCGTGTAGTCCCAGCTGATGGAGTCGACCCGGCTACCGGTTTCCAGCACCTTCACGACTGTCGATTTACGGAGGTCCCAGACTGATATGTCGGAGGAGTCCTTCGTCACTGCAGCAAGCCAGGTGCCGTTCTCAGAGAAGTACAGCGCTTTGATGGGACCGGACATGTCGAAGGTAGCTGCGCTGGTGCCGTTCTTGACATCGAATATTTTGATTTGGCCGTCAGCGCCGCCGGCAGCTAGAAGGTGACCATCAGGATGGAATTTGACGCACGACAGAGCTATTTCACCAGTTAGTTATGAAACATTTTGCTGGGGAAAATATGGATGAAGAATGTATACATACCGGCGTCGGTGAATATCTGAGTAATGACGGAAGAGCTCGAGATATCATAGAGGGTGTAGCTCTTGTCAATGCCAACGGAGGCAACAATATCACCGGTTGGATGCACGGCGAGAGCTGCAGCTGTACCGGCATGGACATTGAAGCTGGCAGCCTCTGATTCATTTTCAAAGACCTTCACAGCACCAGTGGAAGTTGCAATGACAGCCTTGTCTCCGACCCAAGCGGAGTCTGTTATGGAACCACTGCCACCCTTTAGAGAGGCCACAACTCGTTTCTCGGGAAGGGAATATATGCCGGCAACACCGTCAGTGCCTCCTACGAGGGCTAGTTCGCCAGAGGGGTTCAGTGATATAGAGTGTCCACCAGGATAAAGGGGCTCGGACGGGCTAGAAGGCTTAAACTCCTGAATAGCTTCACCGGTAGCCCAGTCTTCTGGGATAGGTCGTTTGCGTCGGGTCTTTGAAAGCCTGCAGAGAAAGCCTGTTAGATACGGTTACAGCATGGGATTTTTGGGCAAACCATACTTCTCTTGGGTTTCTTCAATCCTTGAGATGACGCCTTCTGGAAGACCTGTGCTATCCACCTGCATCGCATCTCCAGCTGCAGGAGCACGGCTAGCTCCAACTGATATTTTTGAAAGTGCATCTCTGGCTTCGTCTCGCTCCTTTCGCAGTCTAGCAATCACACGAACAGCAGCATCATGCTGGTACAACGCCGTACTAAGTTCCTGTCGCGTCTGCGCAAGTGTCTGCCGAAGAGTAAATGTTTCAAGGGCCAGGGCGTCCCATTCTTCCTGGAAAACTCCGAGTAACGAGGGGATCGAGGTAAGAGTTGGCGGTCGAGGTCTGGCAATGCGAGCTGACTTCAATTCGACAAGGTCCTCCACGGTATGCTCCTCGCCTGTGATGGGTTCCTTTCCATGCTCGGAAATGTACTCCTCCACCAGACGCTTCTCGAAGACGTTCCCTACTCAGACCGTATGAGTGTACATCCTCAGATAGATCAGTTCGCGAAGCAGGCGGCTGCTTACCACTCTTGCGCGACACCACCGGCACCTGGGGAGCCTCGCCAGAAACTATTTCGCCAAAAGTCAGCTAATTGCTCCCATAAAATGAGCATGTCGAACGCAGGGTAGCTTACTTGCGCACAACATGGCTGATGAGGTTGCTTTGGACCGCCTTTCGAGCTTCTCGAATTCGTTTTCAACTTTGATACGAAATTCCGATCTTGAGGTCTTCCAGTGCTGGGAAGCTCGGCGCTTTTGTATTTCCGCGTCCGGCATCGGGCAACTCCAAGTTCACCTGTGCTGATGGTCAACTTGGAACTCTTTAGGCGTCGTCTACGAAGAACCCCAGTCTGCTAGGGGGCCGATAAATCTGTTCGGAAGAGTCTACAGTTCTGGGGACTTGTTTTACTCGCTATGGGCCGGTGATCGTGTAGCGCAATGCTTGCGATCGATTGCGCGCAGCTAAAAGTTCACATACGCGAGTCCAAGCCATTATGAGCCGTAGGGCTAACAATCTCTCTTATGGTAGATACATTGCCTTTACCTTTTTGGATTTATTGAATGAGACCTCAGTTAGTTAACGTTGTTTTACGTTGTAGAGAAGCCGGAGCCGTCGTTCCTCCGTAAATTGAGGAATGAGTTCGGAGATGGCAGCGACCACCACCGGAGCCGCCCAAATCCACGGCCTGCCAAATCTAAATATGCTGAAGACGAAGATGACGGACCTACCTACGTGGACGAAGATAACGAAGTCATCTCCAAGGAGAAGTATCTAGAGATGGTAGCCGGGCCAAAGGGTGACACTGAAGAAAACGAAGCCACGAAGCCTCCCGCAGATGAAGGAGCCGAGACAGAAAGACGAACTTCCAAATCAAAGCAGAATATGGCGGAGATAGGTGCCTCGAAGAAGAGGAAGCAAGGCAAAGTCATAGGAGGTGGCGATGTTCCTGAAGATCAAGAGACATCTCAAGCTCAGTCCGAAGCGCCGAAGCGGAAGAAGAATACAAAGAAGAAGATCAAGCTCTCGTTCGATGACGAGGAATGAAATGTTGACGCCTTTGAGGGTACCTATTCTCGACTCATGCCGTCTGGGGTGTCCCTGGACATGGTAACAAAAGTCTGCGGATACTTTACCACCGCCACTACAAGGATATATTACACAAGAACAATCTACGGTCGTAATCATGAATAATATCTATTATCTTAGCTTTCGAGCGCCAACTGGCCAACCCAAAAAAAAAAAAAAAAAAAAAAATAACGTCGTTGCTCTGTAACTATGAAACTTTGTCATAGAATTTGTGGTTATTTCTCATAAACAGTCATAAAACCGCAACCTTTTTTGACTCGCAACCAAATATTGAAAATACTTATTTCAAACCAAGGAATAGTTCATTATATAACCGAACTCCTAATATTTCAACTGCTTTCATCTGTATCTATAGAAATATCCCGCTGCGCCTATCCCTTCAGTCTTCGATATTAAATATTTAATTTACGTCATCCGGTGAGCCGCAAAATCCGCACGCGGGATTGACCAGGCCCGCAAGAAGACAGCGACTCGTACCTTTCCTTCTACGCGGACGCAACAGGTAGAAAATTTCGTGCCATATACCAAGATGCCTGTCGTTAACTTGGAAGATCTCGTTCGCCTCCAGCAAAAGGCTGAAGATATCAGAAATGTATACCGAACTGCCCCTCCCCCGCTATGCTGGAGAAAAATATGATACTAATCAACATGGTAGATTTGTATCCTCGCGCATGTTGTATGTGCCCCATTATGCTCCTTGGGCTGATTCAATTTACCATATACCCTAAACTCCCCATATTGATACAGGCTTGCTACAGGATCACGGAAAGACGTCTTTAACGGACAGCTTGATTGCCACAAATGGCATTATATCACCAAAACTGGCGGGCAAAATCCGCTACCTGGATTCCCGGCCAGATGAACAACTACGAGGAATCACGATGGAGTCTTCGGCAATCTCCCTGTATTTCTCGATGCTACGGAGATCTGCTCCCGAAGGCACCCCTGACAAGCGGGAATACCTAATCAACCTGATCGATTCTCCCGGTCACATTGACTTTAGCAGTGAGGTATCCACTGCCTCACGGCTCTGTGATGGCGCTCTGGTTCTGGTTGATGCGGTAGAGGGCGTGTGCAGTCAAACAGTTACTGTCCTACGGCATACATGGGTGGAACGGCTAAAGCCCATTCTCGTTATTAACAAAATAGATCGTCTAGTGACCGAACTGAAATTGACACCCCTCGAGGCGTATTCCCATCTTAGCAAGATCCTCGAACAGGTGAATGCTGTGATAGGGAGCTTCTACCAGGGAGAGCGCATGGAAGAAGATCTTCAGTGGAGAGAAAAAGTTGAAGAACGAGTTAAAGCTGCAGCAATAAAGGAGAAGGATCGGTCAAAAGCTAGTGCCGAAGCTGGCTCTCAAGTCGACGCTGAGACTGCGGAGTTTGAAGAGCGTGATGATGAAGATTTATACTTTGCTCCTGAGAAGAATAATGTTATATTTTGCAGTGCTACCGATGGCTGGGCGTTTACCGTCCGACAATTTGCCGGCCTCTATGAAAAGAAACTTGGGATCAAACGAGCTACCCTGGAAAAAGTGCTCTGGGGTGACTATTACCTAGACCCCAAAACTAAGAGAGTCCTAGGATCGAAACATTTAAAGGGCAGAAGGTTAAGCCCAATGTTTGTTCAACTTGTACTGGAGACAGTCTGGGCAGTCTACAATGCAACTACAGGCGGCGCCAACTCTACGGGGTATGTGTTACATCTTCAACTACATCACAATAACGTGTCTATTCTATCACTCTAACTGCCTTTCTAGTGACCCTGCACTATTAGAAAAGATAACAAAGTCACTTTCAATAAAGATACCCGTACATATACTTCGGTCCCGGGATTCCAGGAACATTCTCTCTGCTGTGTTTTCTTCATGGCTGCCACTTTCTACCGCTGTGCTCGTCTCTGTGATTGAGTACCTACCCAGCCCTATAGATGCCCAAGCGCTTAGACTACCTGATATGATTGATGATTCCCCGGACGCTAGCTATGTTGATCCCAAGGTCCGTGATGCCGTGTTGAATTCCAAGGCAGGAAAAGAAGACCCAATCCTTGGATATGTCAGCAAGATGGTATCCATTCCCGAGAGTGAGCTACCTTCAAAAACACGCAGAACACCTGGCGGGACCATGTCTGCAGATGAAGCTAGGGAAATTGCTCGACGAAAGAGAGAAGAATTTGCCAAACTTCGGAGTGAGGCGAATGATGGAGATGTGTCTGGTCTCACAAATGCTTTGGCAGGCTCACACCTAGACGAGGCCAAAGTAGAAGAGAAGGTGGATCCGGAGCATCTTATTGGCTTTGCACGACTATATTCTGGTACTCTCTCAGTGGGAGATTCAATATATGTACTACCACCGAAATTCTCACCTATGAATCCACGGGCTAGCCCAGAACCGACCAAAGTTACAGTCAAGGGACTTTACCTACTCATGGGACGAGCTCTAGAGAACTTGGAAAGTGTCAGTGCAGGAGTGGTCTTTGGGATTGCTGGACTTGAAGGACACATTATGAAAACTGGCACCCTTTGCAGCCAAATAGATGGAGCGGTGAATCTTGCTGGAGTATCTTTAAGCCATCCGCCTATTGTCCGAGTTGCTTTGGAGCCTGTGAACCCCGCAGATTTGAATAAGATGATTAATGGACTAAAGATGCTTGAACGGAGTGACCCATGTGCACAGTATGAGGTTCTACCCAGTGGAGAGCACGTTATTCTCACTGCAGGAGAATTACATCTCGAACGGTGTTTAAAGGACCTTCGTGAGAGATTCGCCAAATGCGAAATACAAGCTGGAGAATCCATAGTGCCGTACCGGGAAACCATTATCAGCGCTGCTGAAATGAACCCTCCTAAGAACCCAGACCTACCGCGAGGAACAGTTATTGCTACATCCGGATCTAAGCAACTCAAATTCCAAATTCGAGTACGGCCACTTCCTAGATCTATCTCAGAGTTTCTTCTCAAACAAGCAGAGACTATTAAACGGATATATGGACGTCGAAGACACTTATCAACGGACGCTACGAAGGAATCGGATGATGATACCCCTGAGACAGATAGTCCACATGAAGACAGAGAGGAGGGAGCCACTTCTAGTCGCACCACACTCTCTGCTGAAGACTTCAAGAAAGAATTAGAAACTTGCTTCAGCGCAGTAAAGGAAGATAAAGAGGTTTGGGGAAATGCACTGGCAAAGATACTGGAATTTGGCCCTAAGAAAATAGGGGCTAACATTCTTTTTGATACTACCCCTACTGGACGCTACGAAAGATTGTATGTGAACCCCCTTCACCCTCAATATTACTGCAATTGGACTAACATGATCCAGGTTTTCAGACGGTTCAAATAACAAGTCGGTTCGAGATTCTGCATTGTTCTCGGATAAGATATCATATGCGTTTCAACTCGCTACATCTCAAGGCCCACTCTGTCGAGAACCTGTGCAGGGTGTGGCAGTGTTTATCGAAGATGTTACACTCGAGGAGATTGGAGATGAAGAACACACTCGCTTGACAGGAGAAGTGATAAGGCTAGTACGAGACGCCGTATGGCAGGGCTTCCTTGATTGGAGCCCTCGAATTATGCTCGCAATGTACAGCTGCGAGATCCAAGCTACGAGTAAGTGATTTCTGCCCAAAACTTCGTAAGTGGTGGCAACAGGTTAACTAACTTTCTCTTAGCTGAGGTGTTGGGCCGCGTATACGCCGTGGTGACCAGAAGACGTGGACGAATCCTATCAGAAACCATGAAAGAAGGAACGTCCTTCTTCACAATTTTATCCCTTCTACCAGTAGCTGAATCCTTTGGATTCTCAGATGAGATCCGAAAGCGGACGTCTGGCGCTGCGTCTCCACAGCTGATATTTACTGGATTTGAAATGCTTGACCAGGATCCGTTCTGGGTTCCTGCTACGGAAGAGGAGCTTGAAGATTTAGGTGAGTTGGCGGATAAGGAGAATGTGGCCAAGAGGTATATGGATAGTGTTAGGAGTAGAAAGGGATTGGTAGTGGCTGGGAAGAAGTTGGTTAAAGATGCTGAGAAGCAGAAGACGTTGAAAAGATAGGGGGAAGAGGAAAAAGGATATTGCATGTACACGAGCATTAAAAGTAAGCGTTGAATAGATCCACGATGATTATATCATTGGTCCTGAGCCACTTGTTATCGTAAATATTTGATTAGGCCCGTAGTTTGCTCCCGTTTGGTTAATGGGTACCTCCACGAAGTGCTAAGGTTATTACCGTAGCCCAGCATGGCCTTGGCTTGCCCTCTCGATCTCCTTCACAGGAGCTTGCGGGAATAGTGGGTATCTTCAACCTGTCATTTCAGGTAATGTAGTAGGCTACCGCTCCACATCCCGGGCATCATATACATTTTATCGACTGGTTCATATCAAATGCCTACCTGGCTCATCCCTATCAGTCATTAAACCATCTTATCAATAACTTCCATTGCCTGCTCAAAACGGTTTCGCAACCTTCCTCGCCTCACCGATCCCCGTAATAGGATCTCTCATCTCCTTCCAACTAACGGGGAACATCATATTACCTCCCTCGCTCCTCGCCATAACGACTCCAAGCTCATTCCGTGCAGTCGAACAATAATATGAGCTCTGATCACCCACTGAAATCACGTATGCGCGCACAATATCTCCCACCCTAAACATATCCTCCATTACAACGCGGTCCTTTTCGACCGCACGAACATCTTCTTTGCGGATAATTGCTTGGAACCGGAGATCGTCTGCAGTGTTGCTTGTGCTCGTACTATCTGTGCCTGCGGTGGTGATGATGGGAGCCGAAGAGAGGATTGTGCGCATGTTGGTGTCGATGAGGTCGTTGTTTTGGTCATCTACGACCATGAGTATTGAGACTGTTGCCTGGCGCTTCTGGACGCGAGTTACGCGGGCGAGGACAATGGAGTCGACGGCTGGTAGAGTGTTGAATTTTAGAGGGGACTTGGTTTGCTGTTGGTTTTGTGTGGAGTTGGGGGTATCTGTTTGCGGAGAGCGGGATACTGTGAGGATCTTGCGGGGCTTGCGCTTTGGATCTGTTCCCTTATCGTCGGTTTTGAGGATTACTGGGCCGGGTATGGAGGCGCAGATAGAGGAGTCGCGGACGTATGTTCCTGGGCCGGAGCTGAATGTTGAGCTATCGCCGAGACGTAGCCCAGGCACGGCGATGGAAGGGATTCTTGTCGCCATATCTAGCGGAATTAAATTATTTGATGGTATTAACCTTGCAAATAGAAGGAGAGCAACAAGCGAAAGTGATCGCAACGAAGCTGTCAATCCAAAGATCGAGATATCAAAAGGCAAAAAAAGAAGTTTTACCCGAAAACCTAAAGCTTGTTTAAGTTACGGCTTACTCAGCAGAGCGGCATGACGTCATGATGTAAACAACGACAAAACACCAAGTCAAGTCCTTTAATTATAACACCGAGTAGGGAAATACATTACTTTATGTATTTGGATGCAACACTTGAATCAAACCAGCAAGTTGAAGAAGTGCCGCCAAATAATACACACAAGGAATGCTATAGTAACAATCGAGAGAGTGTATATATGGGAGGCTCGCGGTGAGAGGAAGAGAGAGGGTGTTAGGAAGTATATTGGAAACAGTCTTATATAATGGAGACAAAAGGGGCAGAACGAAGACAATGCAGAGCAATATCAATAGAAGAGACAGTGAAAAGAAAAAGGAAAAAGAACGAGAGAAATAGGTTGTTTTCTGAAGAGCCGACCCCGAAACGCCTGGACTCCTTGCCACGATTAAATGAGTATCCACAAAGGAGAAAAAGTAACAAAAGAAAAAAGAAAATAAAAGAAAATGGACTGAAACAATAGGGAATAAGGGGCAAACGATAAAGCTGTAATATAGTTTGGAGAGCGATGTAAATGAGCAAGTAGGTATAAGGGTGCCCGATCAAGGGTGAGAGGATAAGGAGGATGATATAGAGAGGAAGCTGCCGTGGGCATCAGAAATAGGGTCGTTAGCAGTGGGCATTAGTACGTTTGATATGTATCGGGTAAGCATGTTAGCTGTGCTTGGAGTCGAAGCCGAGAAGTTCGAGAGATCTCTGTGCGAGGGCGATGACTTCGGCAGTGCCTTCTTCGCCATCTTCACCTTCGTCGTCAGACTCGAGATTCTTGTTTGCAATCGCGCGTACTAGTTGTATTATATCCTCGGAACGAGTGATAAAGCCGAGAAGTCGTTTGTCTTCCGACTCTATTAGTTGCAAAAGCGTCCAAATTGCGATATGTTGGAAGGTGGGATCTCCACTGGCTAGGAATCTGTTTAGATAGCCGTGAAGTCCGCCGTTTGGTTCGGTCCAATCTCGAACGAAGA